TCCTCCTCCTCCTCCTCCTCCTCCTCCTCCTCCTCCTCCTCCTCCTCCTCCTCCTCTTCTTCTTCTTCTTCTTCTTCTTCTTCTTCTTCTTCTTCTTCTTGGTGTGTATAGTCTTAGAGAACTAGATATTCAGGCCACCCAAACCCCCCTATCCTTTTCTCCATCCCCTCCACACACACTGTCTCCTCTTCTACCCCCATCCTCTGTAATTCCTGAGTCTCCATAACATAAGCCTCAAGCCAGACCATCTGGGGAAAGCCTGGCCATATTCGCTGCTCATGGTTCCCCTTGTCTTCACCCATAGCTATCATGTCTACCCTACGCCTTCTCAAGAACCCTGAGAGTGCTGAGCTGTTCGGTCCTTCCAAACCGCTAAGCTGTATCCGGTGTGCCGTGGTGGGTAACGGAGGCATTCTGAACGGATCCCGTCAGGGTCAGAAAATCGATGCCCATGACTATGTGTTCAGGTAATGAGGGCAGGGGCCAGGCAGTTGGGTGGAAAGCTCTTGTTTTGCTAGTCCTGAGGGAACATCTACCCCGAGGCCAAAGCCAAGGCAGTTGCCAGCCTAAGGCAGCTCAGCAGTTAGAACCAACAGTTCTCAATCTGTGGGTCATGGTCACATGGTGGGGGTCAAATGACCCTTTCACAGGGGTCACCTAACACCATTGGAAAACACATACATATTTACATTACGATTCATAACAGTAGCAAAATTACGGTGATGAAGTAGCAACAAAAATAATGTTTATGGTTGGGGGTCACCACAACATGAGGAACTGTATTAAAGGGTCACAGCATTAGGAAGGTTGAGAACCACTGGTCTAGACCAAGGATCAACCAACCCCGAAGACAGAGCACAGGGGCCCAGTGTGAAGGAACCTGGGAGGAAGGGTCCCCACGGCCAGCTTTACCCATTCAGAGAGCATCTCTTGAGGACCCTAGAAGTGAGGATAGGCTAGACCCCCAAGCCAGGTATTCTCATGGGCAGGAGTGGTGCAGTAGAGGGATGGGCACAGGTGAGGCAGTGCCATGGAGAGGGAAGTAAACCAGACAACATGGAGAAGCCGCAAAGACGCTGATGGCCTTCTGCTGGGGCTAGACTCAACGGAGCGGTGATCAAAGGCTTTGAGCGTGACGTGGGCACCAAAACCTCCTTCTATGGCTTTACCGTGAACACCATGAAGAATTCCCTCATCTCCTACTCCAGCCTGGGCTTCACCTCCGTGCCACAAGGGCAGGTGAGGCCAGCAATGGGTGATACATGGTGGCTGGCAGTGGGCATTGTCTTCTTAGGGACTCGTGTGGGCTGGGTCCTGGGATGCAGACTCCCTGTCCCATGGATGGAGAGATGGTGTTAAGGTCTTGGTCACACCTTTAATCCCAGCATTCCCTAGACAGAGGCAGGCAGATCTCTGTGAGTTCCTAGATAGCCAGGGCTTACAGAGAGAGAGAGAGAGAGAGAGAGAGAGAGAGAGAGAGAGAGAGAGAGAGAGAGAGAGAGAGACCCTGTCTCAAACAACAAAGCAAAAAGAACTCGGCCCCATGAGGCGGACATTAGAGCTAAATAAAGGCAAGTCTGCTGGAGATTCCCCCATTCTTTCCAATGGCTCAGAGCTGCCTCTTGAGCATGGAAGGGGGAGAACTAATATTTCCTGGATGCAGATGGGACGCCTTGTGAACCCCACTTCACTGGGGAAGAGTCTGAAGACCAGAGCCCTTCCAGGCAGCAAGCCAGCAGAAGGCCCAAGGTTCAAACCTAGACTGCCCACCCCAGAGTTCCCTTATCTTTGCACAGTGCAACGGCATTTATTGGGTACGTCCTGTGTCCCCAGAGTGTCACGGTTGCTCCCTGTGGGACCATCATACCTGTCTTCACATGGCAGAGTTAAGTGATACTGACAGTTGCCAGGTATGGCGGTGCACACATGGCGGTGCACACATGGCGGTGTGCACATGACGGTGCACACATGCAGTCCTGGCACCTGGGAGACGTGGGAGCAAGGGCAGGCAGATCTGTATGTTTTTTTTTTTTTTTTTTTGGTTTTTCGAGACAGGGTTTCTCTGCTGCTTTGGAGCCTGTCCTGGAACTAGCTCTGTAGACCAGGCTGGTCTCGAACTCACAGAGATCTGCCTGCCTCTGCCTCCCGAGTGCTGGGATTAAAGGTGTGTGCCACCATCGCCCAGCAATCTGTATGATTTTTGAGGCCAGTCTGGTCTACATAGCGAGCTCCAGGTCAGCCAGGTCTATACAGTGAACCTTTGTCTCTAGCAGGGGAAACTGCAGCGGTTTGGGAATGTGTCCAAAAGCATTGGGCTAGAACTGTCCAGATCCAGGGCCCCGTGGAGATATTTCCATTTCCCCACACTGCCGACCGTAGAACGATGTGTGTGGCCTCTTGGACTCTCATCAGAGCCCTGTGTAGGAAGCGGAAGTTCAAAGAGGCTTATGGCCTGTCACAGCTAGTGTCCGAGCCAGCCTTGGAGCCCTCTCCCTGGCTCTTCCTGCCACACTTACTTGCTGTAATGCCATGCTTTCTGCCTTGAGCTCTCTGGGTGCCACGTGCAAGGCTCTCGGGTAAGGGGCGCTATAGGCCTAGGAGGGGATGGGCCGTGTTCCTCCAAGCTTCTGCCTCTGATGGGGACATTCAGGAGTGTCCTAGGCATATTGTCTACTGCTGAGTCCCCACCGCAGGAGCGATCAGTTGGTGAGAGAACACAGTGTGCCCACTGGACTTTTGTAGGGTCTGTCACACACCCTTAAATGATGATCCTTCATCATCTCATCAAGCCAGTGTTTCGGGAATTTGGGAGTGGCTTAGCAAGCAGTTCCAGCCCAGGTTCTCTTAGGCTGTGGACTACTTCCATCTGAAGGCAGGAGTAGGGCTAGAGTCAAGACGGACATATTGCAGGTTTATGTCACCTGGGCCCTTCTGAAGATCCATCCCCCAAGAGCCCTCATGACATGATCGCTAACTTCCCCCAGATTGAGCATCCAGAGAGAGCAAGGACGCAAAGCCCCTTTCATGACTGTCTTTAGGATCTTATGTGTATGTGGCCAGCACCTATGTCTGTGGGCCACGCACATGCTTGGTGCTCACAGAGGCCAGAAGAGGGCGTCGGGTCCCCTGGAGCTGGAGTTGTGGCCTGTTATGAACCACCATGTGGATGCTGGGAACCGAGCCCAGGTTTTCCGGAAGAAGAGCAAGTGCTCTCAACTGCTGAGTCATCTCTCTAGACCTCTGTTTTCTACTTTTAGAGTCTGGCAGGAGGGTCAGAAGGGTCAGGAGACAAAAGGATCAGGACTTCCTGGACTGCATAGGGATTTTGAGATCCTGTCTCCAAAAGAACAAAACAGAGAGAAGATGATACACAATAGTCACAAAGTCTAGCCAGTCCTCACGGGAACGGCAACCTTGCTTCACCTCTTATGGAGAGGGACATCAAAGGTTCTGTGAGCCGACAATAAAACATCCAGGTCCCTCAGAGTGGGAATACAGCCTAGCAAGGAAATGCTCACAAGCTCAGGTAGCAAGGTGAGGCAGAGGACTGTTTTTCTCTGGAGCTGAAGGTGGCCTTGTCTGGTACCCCGACAGGACCTGCGCTACATCTTCATCCCCTCGAGCATCCGTGAATACCTGATGCTGAGATCTGCCATTCTGGGTGTGCCTGTCCCAGAAGGACCCGATAAAGGGGACAGGTGAGCGACTGACTGATGTGTGGGCCTGTCCCGTGGGGTGAGGAGGACCGTGAGCACCCCCCCTTGCTCGCAGGATTCATGGTTGGAGAGAGAAGCTGGCTGATGACTCTTTAGCCCCGGCTATGCTAGGGGAAGCTGTGCAAAGAGAAAAATCTCCACAATATTCAATAGTCCCTAGTTATTCAGCATAACTTATCATTGAGGGTTGTGCTCTGGCTGACAGTGGGTGCCCTCTTCTGAGGACCCTCGGGTGGGGCAGGCCACAAGGCTCACAGAACTCTGTCCAGTGGATGGAGAGGTATTGCTTGGCCACCTCAAGTGTTGGCATTAAAGCTGAAGGCAGATTTGGCAGGGCTCAGATTCTTTCAGGTGATCCAGGGTCCAGGTAGCCCTACTGGCTTCCCTGCTGGATCAGAGGTGGTCTAAAGGTGAACAGGCCTGGCCCCTCAGCTCTGGGCTGCTGTCTCAGTTGGTAGCTCTGGCCCACTGAGCACACTGCTCTGGAAACAAAGAGCAGGCAGGCATCCTCCCCAGGGCTCTGCCCAGGAGCCAAGAACACTAGGTCCCCAGGCTGGGTCCAGAGAGGTAGGAACAAAGAGTGCCATGTCTTCTCAGCACCTTGATGATCCATGTCTGAGCTCTGACTTGAATCTGCTCACTTGAACCAGGTTCATTGTCTTGTGCCTGAGAACCTATGCCACTACCGTGGCCAGGTGACCAAACCCTTCTCATGGCTCTTGGAACATGTGACCCACTTTCTCAAAGAGCAACTTTCTTTATGGGTTTAACGATAGAAACCAGCAGCAGCCTGGAGAGATGGATCAGTGGTTAAGAGCACTGGCTGCTCTTCCAAAGGTCCTATGTTCAATTTCCAGCAACCACATGGTGGCTCACAACCATCTATAATGAGATCTAGTGCCCTCTTCTGGCCTGCAGGTATATATGCAGCCAGAACACTGTATATATAATAAATACATCTTTAAAAAAAAAATGATAGCAACCAGGCCAGCCCCTGCTGGGCGCCCCACCCCCACCCTATGATTACGTAACAATTGCTCCCTATAGGTCATGAGAACTGAGGATGGGTTCTATGATGCGCTGGGAATGGGCTTTGGGGGGAAACCGCCTCAGAGTCCCCGGGTGGACTTAAGCCTCCTTAACACCAATGAGCTCCCCCTCCCACACCCCTAATCCATCCCCAACCCAATCCCCGTCCCAGTCCCGGTCTAACCACGCCCACGCTGATAATTTAACCAACCAGCAGCTCCCCCCTAGCTCTGGAGGCTCAGCCCCTTCCCCTTCCCCCACCCGGGGGACTTCCTCCCGCCCAACCTCCCATAACCCCACCCCAGCTCCTTCTCAGCCATCCTCCCGGGCTTCCTCCCAGTCACCTAGTCCTCATGTCCAGCATGTGTCCCGAGGGTCTACTCAAGCCCCTACCCCTCCAGCCTCCAAATCTCCCTCCCAGACTGGATTGAAATCTCTCTCTCGAAACCCTTCCCTGACGCCCGCGGTGCCCGTGAACAGGTCCCCTTCCCACAGCCCTGTGGTCTCGGCCTCCTACATCGGGCCCATCCGCAACATCCCTTCCTACATTGCCCCCTATGTGCCTCGCTTCATGAAAGAGACCTCCTATTTCCAGCCCCCTACAGCACCTCTTCCGCAAAATCGGTGCTTTCCCTGTCCCTTTCCTTGCCAGGCCCAGGAATCCAGTAGGCCGCAGCCACCACCACCACCTGACTCTCTCTACTTCCCCCTCCTCCCCCCACCCCCTCACCTCCCCCAGGTGAACTGCACCTACCCTACACCTCCGGCCCTGTTCACACCCCCATCCTCCCTCTCCTACACTCCACCAACTGAGGTCCTGCTGAAGGGGAAGCCACACGTGGTACCTTCGGTGCTACCGGCCACCTTCTACACCCCCTTCTCCCGCTTCTACTCCCAGCCCCAGCCCTACCGCTACCACCGGCGGTTAACCCTCCCCTCACTCTCCCTTCAATACGATGGTTCTGGACGCTCTGTCCACTTCTATCGTGGGACCTAGGCCTCACACCTATTTTGGACCAGAAACCTCTGCCAGTAAATTCAAGCTCCTGCATCCAGACTTCATCCGCTACTTGACAGAGAGGTATGGGGGATGGGGACGGGTTGGGAGATGGGAGGACCAACTTTTTCCTTCTCACCCCTACTCATATTTACAGTGCCTTTGGCGGGGCTTCATTCACTACACACTGGACTGCACGCCCGTACTGAGTGCCATGTGCCCATCGCTGCACTAAATGTGTCTGTGGTTTCTTTTACTGACTTATTTACTACCGTGTAGGAGATGGTGATAGAGTAGATAGGGAATAAACAAGAAATGGGAAATTGAGTCCCACGTTCACAAACTCAGAAGATGTTGGGTGCTAAAAAGTCTAGAGCCATCACTTTTAGCTCCAAACCCAGCCTGCCAAAAGCCAGTGATCCAGAGAATCAAGGGAAACAGATACCACTTCTCTCCCTCCCTCGGTGCCTTAGGTCGGACATTTGGTTCAGTCAGGACATAGTTTGGGTTGTCGTGGAGGACATGACATGAGTAAGCAGAAGCCAGGGATCTGCTGACCGTCCTTCGGGGCAGAGGTCCAGCGGCGATGCCCAGTGCTAGCCGCCCCACAGTTGAGAAACCCACTGTACAGCACAGAGGCCACCATCTCCACAGAAGGTGGGCGGAGCAGTAGGTGGGAGGCCAGCGGAAGCCCTCTGAGCTTGAGTGACCTGCCCGGTCAAGCTCTCGACAGGAAGCCAGGTCTGAGGGCAGCACCTGTGGGTACTATCACACCAGTGAACCCAGAGCTAGCATCTCAGCTCCCTGCTCAGCCGTAGTTCCTATTGGCTCAGTTGAGTGGCTCTCACCCCTCTGAGGTGTTAACTTCATCCTAAGACCCTCACTGTTGGAGGAGAAGGGCCGGTTTCTGACTGTCTCCAGCCTCTTTGAGAGGGTAACCTAAAGTCTAATGTAGCTGTGGTATTCTCATTCAACACCTGAGTATCTTTCTCAAGTTTTAGGGGTTGGTTTTTGTAAATCTTTGTGGGGAAGGCTGGGCAGGGCGAGGAACATGCAGGCAGGAGCACGTGGAGGCTCTCTCCTTGTCTGTTTCTTGACATTCGCCAGGCCCGCTGACCTCTGAGTTTCCCTGCCTCCCATCTCACCGTAGGACAGCTGGGATTGCAGATAGGTGCTCCTGTGTCCAGCCTCACGTGGGAGCTGGGAACCCAGATTGGGACCTGAAGTTAGTGTGACAAGGGCTTTACTCTCAACTCTTCCCGCTAGCCCCTTCTCGGATCTTAACGCTTCCGACGTCCTTCCAGGTTTCTGAAGTCCAAGCTGATGAACACACGTTACAGAGACATGTATATGCCCACCACGGGAGCGCTCATGCTGCTGACGGCCTTGCACACCTGTGACCAGGTAGGTGGTCCTCTCCAGGAGCATGACTGTCAGCTCACTGTGGCCCACTAGTCCTTCCCAAGGCTGGCCACCCTGAAGTGGGGCTCGACCACAGACAGGATTCTCCAGGAGCAGGAGAGCCCGCTTCCTCCTGACATCCCAGAGGGTGTGGTCTGGGCCAGCCTTGCCTCACTGTTCCTCCTGCCCACCTTCCCTCTTCTTATTCAACACGGTATTTAGGGTGCAGTGGGCCAAACAGCTCTTCTGAAAGCAGAATCTGGCTGGGGGGAATCATTTAATGGGGATTTCCTAGAGCTGGCAACGGACAGCAGGCTCAGCCTTGCACCTGCAGAACCCCTGAAACCCTGTGGTAAAAGGTTCCTTCCTGGTGGAGTGCCACTTGACGTGTAAGGCGGGGCAGAGGTTGAGTGACAGTTCTCAAATGGCTGTGGATGCAGATGAAGCAAGCATAGCATGAGGCCCTGCGTTCAAGCTGTGATCCCGTGAAGGCATGAGGGACGTTAGTCCCTGGCTCTGTACATTTTACCTGTTTCAGTGCAGGTGTCCTGACTGCAGTCACCGTAGATCCCCTCCATCCTTGAACTTCAAGATCACGATGTCTGAGTTCCAAACCCGTCTCTGCCACTCACTGAATGGGGACACTTGTAATTACCAATTAGCCTGTGTTCGATGGGGTTAAGACTCACTTGTGAGAATGTGTGTAAGCTGAGCTGTTCATCTGCTCCCTCATCTTCCTGAGGGGACCTGCTTGGGGGGGGTTGGGGGTCAGGCATACTCTAGCTCCAGTTGCTTCGCTGCTGCACCCTGCAGCTCCCTAAGTGCACACTGTGACTGTCCTTCCCCAGGTCAGTGCCTACGGATTCATCACCAGCAACTACCAGCAATACTCAGACCACTATTTCGAGCGAGAAAAGAAACCAGTGATATTCTACGCAAACCATGATCTGACCCTAGAAGCTGCCCTGTGGAGGAGCCTACACAACGCTGGCATCCTTCAGCTGTACCAGCGCTGACCCCGAAGGACCCATTTCTTTGCTTCGAAAGCACTTTTTCTTGACCTTTCAACCTTTGGAAGAGGCATCAGTCCCCTTGACCCTCTGCTTCCCCAGAGGGTACTGAGACAAGACTCTACTTGACCCTTGACCCTCTACTTCCCCAGAGGGTACTGAGACAAGACTCGTGGCCACATCACCAGAGCCTGTTCAATGCACGACACGGTCTTGACTTGAGCCTACTCTTCTGGGCTTAGCCAGGGGAGGGCAGACTGCTTTGCAGAGTTCGTTTTCACCCCCCAAAATGAGACAGTGATCCTCACCAGCAAAGACCCTGATAGTTTAAAGCTAGCGCCTGACCCTGAGCAACTAGGAACATTAAAGAAGCCATTCAGGGCTGTCTGGAAACCAGTATCAAGCAGAGACTAACTCCTAGCTGAAACCAATGGCACGTCAAATTCCAAAGCCATTCAACCTGTGAGGACATCTTAAGCTTTCTGAGAACACGACATTTTTGCCTTGGGACAGAACCACAGGCAGAAGGTAATTTGAGGCTAGCTAATAGGGCAAGTGCCGGATGACCACTGTCTCTTCCTGTGTGTCGGCTTGGAGGGAGTGGTGAGGTGCAGCTCAGGACCAGGACTAGCTCGCAGGCACAAGCACATCCAGCACCAGTGTACAGAAGGTACTGACTCTTGGCCAGCTACACACAAGTTGTCACTACCTGAGTCCTACTGGAGATGTATCACCATCACTCCTTGTCACCAACAGGATACTAGAGTGACGGACCCTCATCCTTGCATCACAGCTTCAATAAACAACTGAGGCAGTTTCTGTTTCCTGAGCCATTTAGTCTCACGTAACTAAGATATCACAGGGCCCCTAGAAATGTGTACGGTTGGGGGTGGGGAGTGGGTATCCCAAGGATTGCTGGCCAGACATCCCGAGGCTTAGGACTGACATTTGGTTCTACAGTTTGGGAAAACTGACGGGATAAACCAATGACCTAACAACTTTAAGAACCCCAGAAGGGCCGGGAATGGTAGTGTTCAACTCCATTCCCAGCAGAGGCAGATGCCCCGAACTGCGGAGTCTGAGACAGCCTGGGTTTTAGCCTCTTGCTGCCGAGGAGTTAGAATGTTGGGTAAACAGACTCTCAGGAATCCTGCAAAGCAGACAGTCCTACATCAGTTATTCAGACTCCCTCAGTCCCAAGATCTCACAGCTGACTGTACTACCTAAACCCTACTGCCCTGGCAACCCACATTTCCCTGGCACCCTTTAATCCATGGTGCAGACACAGTAGCAGTACATTCATGAACGAATCAAATGATTTCTTTAAAGACCAATTTATGTGAATGGGTGTTTGCATGCATGCTGGCCTGTGCACCACTTGCATGCCTGCATGCATGGGTACCATGATGACCAGAAAAGGATACAGGATTCCTTGGGACTAGGGTTACAGATGGTTGTGAGCCCCCATATAGGTACTGGAATTGAACCCAGGTGTTCTGGAACAGTTGGTGCTCTTAGTCATCCCTTCAACCCATCATCATTGGATTAAGTGTTAGGTAATTTTAGGTGACAACCTATGATTTAGGTACAAAGTCAACTTTAACAGGTCAATAGAAAATGGATGTCTGCGGTTAGGTTCAAGTGTTATTCTAGAACACTCTTTTTTCTAAGCCTCAATCTCATATCCACAATGCTAGTGAGTTAAATTTTATAGTTTATTTGTGCTTCAAATTAGAAAGCCCAACACCGACTTCTCAGGAAATCCACTGTGAGAAATGCCACCCCCCCACACCCCCGCTCCAAGTGCCTCCAATATTCGCTAGCTGCCAGAGGCTTCCAGGGTGACTGCAGTCACTTGACTCTGCTGGCTGCTTTTGCAGATCAAACTCCAAGGCCCTTTGATGATGCGCTGGGAGACTGAAGGCCAGCAGCAGCAGGACACTCGAGGGCAAAAACCTGAAAACAAAACATGAAGGAAACTTAGAGTCTGGGAACAAGTGCATCAGCCTGCAGCTCCTGCCACTACCATTTACCAAGCACTGTGTGTGCTGTGCGCACAGGCGGGCACTGCCTAAGTTCCAATGCAGAATGATCAATTTGTTTTAGGAGACAGGAGAAATTTCTGGTAATGGTAAAAAACCCATGAAGCATCAGGAATGTTTACACTCAACTCACTCCCTCTGGACATGACCTTTGAATTCACCCAGGAGCAAAGCCAAGCAGGCCTGCTTCCCTGTAGGCTGTGGGCAGCTAGGGCTCAGTCAATCTCACCCAAATGCAAATACTTTAGGTGATGAAACAAAAATGCGGCCGTACAGGCACAAAAAGCCTGTGCACACCTCCCAGTTCCCGCAGGAAAACACCATCTGAGGGCACTGCAAACTGGCCACAGAAACAGGAATTACTGAGGTGGAGTTCGCCCAGCCCCACGGCAACTTGTTTCTTGTTACCCTGGTGCCCATCAAGCAACCCGACATTCAGACAGGACCTAATCTGTACAATCTGTATGAGGCTGCCAGGGTCACAGCACCTCCTTTCCTAAATGTCAGGGCTGCAGCAGAGGCAAGGGCAGTCATTAGGCATTCTAGAGTCACAAGCTGGCACAAGTCTTACATTCCCGTCTCCTTCAAAAGAGCACATTCATTTTCTACAAGTATGTGACAAGGACCCTTTCACTTCACAATGAGCACAAAACGAGCCCTGGCAGCATGCCCACTTCTGCTAACTCGGGGGCTGTGCCCTCAGAGCCATCACTCAACAGAGAGGATTAAAGGGCAAGCAGGCAGCAGGTTTCTGGAAGGCTGGCACACTACACCAGCTCCCAGCAGGGCACACACAGCTCTTTATGGCATCCACTCGATCCCTTATAAAGCTCGAATTTCTTCAGGCAGAGAGCCACACCCCTGAGCCTCAGAATAGAGTATTTTCCCTCAGCTGAAGTTTTCAGACAGGGATAACCAACCATCCATCATAGGCTTATGGGCTTTTTTTGGAACACAAACAAATGGGAACATAAAATCACAAGGAAGACATGGCAGAGCACGCTTTCAATCCGAACACCTGGAAGGCAGAAGCAGGTGTTCCTCAGTGAGTTTGAGGTTAATCAGGTCTACTGAGTGTTAGGCCAGCTGGGACTATACAGTAAGACTATCTCAGATTACGGGGGGGAGGGGCTCCATTAGTCACAAGGAAGCTGTCTCACCCTGCACAACCTGGAGAAGAAAGAAAACCACATTGAAATCTCCCTCGTCAGAGTAGGGTGTCAAAGGCACTGATACTCCACCCCACATCCTGATCCAGGCTCAAGTCCAGGTGCAGATGGTTACCTGTGTGGCGGCTACAGCTTCCTGCATCCTTCTCCTCCCGTGACTCAGCCTGCACCTGGTGATAAGGAAACACATGGTAACTCTAGAGCAACTCACTGTAAAACCATGCCCGGAGCCTGCCTGTCCCTGGGAAGCTGAGCTTCAGATAACCACATTCCACACAGAAAGGCCTCTTGACCTTCAGTCAGGGATAACTTACATCATCACGCACTCAGCTCCCACAGAACTGCCAGCCTCTGAGCATGAGAACCCTTTAGAAAGGTTTTTTTTTTTTTTTGGTTTTTCGAGACAGGTTTTCTCTGTGGCTTTGGAGCCTGTCCTGGCACTAGCTCTGTAGACCAGGCTGGCCTCGAACTCACAGAGATCGGCCTGCCTCTGCCTCCCGAGTGCTGGAATTAAAGGCATGCGCCATCATCGCCCGGCTAGAAAGGGTTTTTTTTTTTTAAATATTTTTATGTGTTTTGACTACATATACATGTGTACCATGTGTGCTTGTAGAGACCAGAAGAGGGCATGGGATTCCCTAGAAGTGGAGTTACATACAGTTGGCTGCTCGAAGTGGGTGCTGGGAATGAACCCAGGTCCTCTTTAACCAACTAACCATCTCCCTGGCCACTCCTGTCCTCCTAAAGACAGGATCACTAACATTAAGGAAGCAAAGACAGAAGTGTGAGTTGGAACCCAGCCTGTACTACACAGCAAATTCAAGGCCAACTCAGGCTACAAGGTAAGACCTTCGGGTGGAAAGGTCACTCCCAGCAGCAGGGGTCTGATGGCTGAGCCAGAATCTTTGGCATGTCCTATCATTAGAATACCCAAAATGGTTTAGGTCACCCACTGGACAACCATCTATCACAAAGGCTACCAAGAAATGACATCATACAGTTTCTCCTCCCCCATCCACATGTACGACAGCAAGCATGTGGTTTTCAGTTTTGTTAAAAATAGCCAGCACTCTAACCTTGCTATAAGGCCTTGGCTCAAATAGACCAGAATCGTTCGAACCGTTTCTGTACGCCTGCTCCAGACCTCCCACAAGGTTCTGACTCCACTCTAGAACCATTTGCATCCACTGGCAGAAGTGGACCCAGGAAACACGTTTTAGGTTCTGAGATACATCTAAGCTTAGAAACAACCACTTCTGCATCACAAGACACAAGGCTCTGTGCCACCATTAGTTGGCAGGTCAAAATCTTTCATCTAAAATGCAGTTCTGGCTCAGTGTGTGAAGGAGAGAACACACTTCATCCTGACTGACAAACATAGCCACGGCACACGCACATACAAAAGAAGTATCTTTAAGTACGCACAAGGTTTGATCCCCTGCCCAGAAAAACCTATATAAAATGCAGTTTCTAGGGGGTTTCTTAACCTCACTTCTATTGACATGTTGGGTGCCTAAGTCTTTATAACTGGGGCTGGAGAGATGGCTCAGCAGTTAAGAGCACTGCCTGCTCTTCCAAAGGACCCAGGTTCAATTCCCAGCAACTCACAACCATCTGAAATTAGATTTGATGCCCTCTTCTGGTCTGCAGGCAGACACATAGGCAGAATATTGTATACATAATAAATTAATATTTAATAAGAAAAAGTCCTTATACTGGCTGTCTCGTGCCTTGAAGGAGTCACCCAGCATCAATTGGATGTCCACTGAAAGCCAATAGCTTTCACAATCTTGAGCAGAATCCCCACTACGTGGCAGCACAGTGGAGGACAACTTTGTATTTGCAAACTCCTTACCTCTTAATCTAACAGACCAATCCTTCCAGGCAACAATCCCTGTGATTGTATGAAGAAGCTGTTAGCACGCATAGCGTCAAGAAGGTCCTCACGTGCCGCGCCCGACAATGTCTCCAGGAGCCAACTCCAACCTGAAAGGATAACTGAGACAACAGACTTCATTGTAACAGAGACAACCGTAAGGTGTTTATTCTCAAATTAGGCGTTAAAAGGTTGAGCCTCAGTAAACCACGACTCTTCACAAGACATGTCATCTCAGACAGGGATAACTTTAATTCATCCTCGGCTCAACCAGGAACAAACTCCTAAATCCCAGGCAACCCAAACTCATGGTCCAAGTCTCTTCCCTTCATCCCTGTCCATCTTGTCTCCCATGTTATATGGAGGGTGACACTCGGTGGTTCCGGTTTACACTGGCAGAGCCTCTCTTCTGGACTTCGAGTAGAAACTTACCGAAATGGACTCATGGCTCGACACGCGTTCTCACAGCTGAACTTTATATTAGCACGCCTGAAGCACATGTCCATCATCTACCTCCACCTTCTCATCGGTGGCCACACGGGTCCGTTTACGCTTAGGGATCCTGCCATTCTGAGACGGAGTCTGCAGCCTTGCTTCCCAGCGTCGCAACAGGTGCCAAAGGAGTGCCTTCGAGGAAGGAAAAAAATATGCCAGGGGAAACTATGGGTTTTCATTTTGCGGGCCCCTCAGTCACAACCTGCAGTCATTAGAGGATGTCAAGGCACTACGGGCGGGCAAACGTATTCACGCATCCACGCTCAGGCATTAAAGGCCACCCCGCCTCAATGGAAACCCCAGGGCCCGCAGGGTCGCATGCTCCGCGCATGGCTGGCCGTGAGACACAGGGGGCTGGGCAAATTGGGAAGCACTCCCAAGAGACGCGAATTCAAAGCCTAAAATGGGCTTCAGCCCTCTTTCACACAACAGTTCTCGCAGTCTGGAAAACCTTTTTTTTAATAAACAGAATCGGCCGGGCGGTGGTGGCGCACGCCTTTAATCCCAGCACTCGGGAGGCAGAGGCAGGCGGATCTCTGTGAGTTCGAGACCAGCCTGGTCTACAAGAGCTAGTTTCAGGACAGGCTCCAAAACCCACAGAGAAACCCTGTCTCGAAAAACCAAAAAAAAAAAAAAAACAGAATCTTAGACCATCTAAGACCTTAAATAGCAATGCAGAGGAAGGGCTTATCGCGGCCACTTCACCTCTGGAGGAGACAAGCATGGCGACGGCATGTGGAGAAAAATCTCATTTTCCCGCTTCCACAGCTTACCAACACCCGGAGCCCTAGTCTTTTCAGTGAGTGAACGAAAGACAAAAGCAGCCATAACTTCCACACACGCGGCGGCGGACCTCGGAAAGGGCGAGGTTGCGGCTGCGCGCAGTCTTCCCACCCCGGTCTCGCCGGAACTCTCGCGATGTTGAGAAAGGCCTGTTGGGAAATGTAGTTCTAAACCGACCGTGGCCGAGTGTCGGTCGTCTCTCCTGAGAGTGAGTGAAGAGAAGGGGTAAGATGATGGCCGCCACCAGGGGCAGCAGAGGTTCCTGGGGTGGGAAGTTTGGTCTGATGAGGAAACTCAGGCTCGTGGTCAGTTGCTCTGAGGATTTTATCTGGGGTGGAGAGGCGTCGATTGCCTTTGCCCAGGGAGAAGTCCCAGGGTCTCGTCGGCTGCTTTTTAGACGGGGGACGAGAGCGGATGCAGGCAGCAGGGGGCGCTCGAGCCGTAGGGTCCCGTCTGCCTGGGACCCTGTCCGGACCGGAGTAGCAGGAAATCATAAAAACTGACGGAGTAGCTTGACTTCGTGAAAACAGCTCCAGGCTGGCACCTCCAGAACCAGGGAGTTGCTCCCATCCTTCTGGGACCTTGACTTCAGTGACAGCCGACCTCGTCCCGGCCGCGGTGCTGAAAAGAACTTCAGGACTAGCCAGTATAAATTGGAGAGAAAATAATTTTAATGGAGGTGTTTAGCGTGAGGATTAGGAGAAAGGCGCCCAGGAGAATGGCGTGCCCCAGTGTGGGAATGGGCTCAAGTCAGAGCTGCAGCTAGTTGCTTAATCTTAGCCACGTATACTATTTTGGTGGCTCTGAGTTACTCTTCAAACGGTTGCTAGGAGACCTCCCCCATCCCCACTTTCTTGCTCTCTTGATAAGTGAGATAAGTGTGGGGGCTCCGGAGAGGCTTTGGATGGAGCTGTAGTCCAGAGTCGTTAGGGTCGCAGGTTTAGTTTGTGTCTTCCATGTAAATGTGATGGTCTCTGGTGAGAGTCCCAGAAAACTGTGGTTTCCTATCTGGGAGGGGAGAAAAGGCCTTAAGTGGCTGGTACCAGAATTCTTGCTTCTCTGTTAGCAAGAGACTCCAGCCCAGATTCCAGAATGAGGGACCCTTTTCCTTCTCATGTCCCCAAGGCTTTCCTTTCCTTTCTATCCTGCCCGATTTGGAAGGTCATTTTTTTTTTGTTTTGTTTTGGGGGAGGTGGGAGTTGGTTTTGTTTTTGTTTTTCAAGAGAGGATTTCTCTGTAGCTTTGGAGCCTGTCCTGGAACTCGCTCTGTAGACCAGGCTGGCCTCAAACTCACAGAGATCCGCCTGTCTCTGCTTCCCGAGTGCTGGGATTAAAGGCGTGTGCGACACCGCATTTTTTATTAACAGGGCAAAATGGAAAGACAAGGCCGTACCTTACACCTATTAGGAAATGAGTTTAAATTTACAAGATCAAGAGCCTTGGATTCATAACTCTTAATAACTTTAATTGATTTTTTTTATTGAGCTCTACATTTTTCTCTGCTCCCCTTCCTGCCTCTCCCCTCCCCTTCAATCCTCTCCCAAAGTCATGCTCCCAATTTACTCAGGAGCTCTTGTCCTTTTCTATTCCCATGTAGGTATTCATAACTCCTAATCACTCTGCTCAAATGAGACTCTGTAGCATTTCGCCTGTTCCATTTTTTTAATGTGGAAATCTGTTGCCGACACATACTCTTAATGAACATATTTGCTTATATGTATCTCCTTTAATTTGATTGTGAACGCTTCATGAGCCGGGGGGATGCGTCTTAATGTTTTCTTCTTAATTTCCTCACCGTGCTGGATTTACTGTTTGGCAGTCTTCTCACAGAATGTTCCGAGGAAATAATCACTAATGTATTCAGCAAGAACACAGGCCCTTGAATGTGTCTGTCTTACCCTTGACGACACGTCATTTTGTTTAATACTGAAGGGAGGGAAGCATTTTCTCCAGGCACACTGCGTCCTTTCATTTGAGACCCACAGAGGGAATTGTGAAGAGTTTACCCAAAGCTGCTTGCGAGACTTGTGGCCACGTGACCCTCTGCAGCCGAGATAATAACGGTAGGTAGGTAGTGCTTTGCGGTGGCTGCTGAGGCGGCTGCTCACTGCGTTGGGTCTTTTCATCCTCCCAGTCTATGAGCACTGTTGCTGTCCCGGTGGGCAGATGAAGAAACGCATATTGAGCGACCAGGTACTATTTAAAGTCACACCAGCGTAGGGCAGGCTTGGTATGATCGCAGCCTGAGGAGGTTCTGCTCTTATCACCAAGTTGCTCCGCCCTGTGAGTAAATTGATCTAATGCGGAAGAACTTTCCTTTTATGGGGAAAGCAAAAACAGGAGGATTTGTGTGTGTGTGTGTGTGTGTGTGTGTGTGTGTGTGTGTGTGTGTTTTGTTTTTTGTTTTTCTGGGACAGGGTTTCTCTGTAGCTGTAGAGCCTGTCCTGGAACTAGCTCTGTAGACCTGGCTGGCCTCAAACTCACAGAGATCCACCTGCCTCTGCCTCCCGAGTTCCGGGATTTTTGTGTCTTTAAAAATAAAAAGTTTGTGTGTGAGGATATATGCAGATGACATAGAAGTCAGAGGTCAGCTTTGGTTCTCAGACACCCTCCATCTTACTTTTTTTTGAGTCTGAACCTCTCTGTAAACCTAGAGCTTGTGGATGTGGCTAGACTGGCTGGCCAGGGAGCCCCAGGGACCACGCTGTCTCTGCTCCCCCGAGCTGGGATTACAGGCACATGCGACCACAGTTTTCTCTTCCATTTTGTTGATTTATTTTGGGGGAGGCGTGTTTTTTCTGCATGTATGTCTGTGTACCACGTGCGTGCCTGTAGCATGAATTCTATTTGGTCTTAATAATAAAAACCCAGAGTCAGCTCTCAGGGGTGAAAGCTGAAGGGTCAGAGAAGCAGAGCAGCCAGACACCAGCGCTCAGATGGAAAGGGTGATCCTGTCTCTGCAAATCCTCAGACTGCACCTCAGACTGAATTCTCAGACTGCATCTGAGCTCCTGTCTCCTCCTGCCTCATATTCCTCTCTCTACCCAGCCATATCACTCCTGTCTCCACCTCCCTAATGCTGGGATTAAAGCCATGTGACCCCAAGTGCTAGGACCACCTTTGTGTGAGCTCTGTTTCTCTTTAGACAAATTCAGTCATAGCCCAGGGTGGCCTTGAACTCACAGAGATCCCTCTGCCTCTGTGTCCTGAGTGCTGGGATTAAAGGCATGAGCCACCACCGCCTGGCCTCTATAGCTAACTAGTGGCTTAGCTCTGCACTCTGTTCTTCAGGCAAGCTTTATTTGTTAGATTATAAACAAAATATCACTACTTTGTGCCTAGTGCCTACAGCAGCCAGAAGAAGATGTTAGATTACCCCTAGATCTGGAGTTACAGTTGTGAAGTGACATTTGGTTTCTGAGACTAGAATCTGGGTCCTCTGGAAGAACAATGCTCTTAACCACTGAGCCATTTCTCCAGCCCCTGCACCTAGCTTTTTAGGTGAGTGCTGGGGATCTGGGCTCATATAGTGATCTGGTCCCCTGTCTGTCAGCTGCAAGTTTTCTGTCTTTACAGAGGTGGTTGGAGACTAATAAAAAATGCTGACCGAAGAATGCACCTGCTTTGTCAGTCTGAACCACATGGTGGCAGAGTGAGGATGAGCATCCTCTGTCTCGAGGAGCCGCTCTGAAAGGCTGTAGGGCTTTGGGATCTAGCCGTGCTGTCTTGCGCGAGGCTAATTGCCACCCAGTGTACAGAGAGGCCACTATTCCTGGCACCTCACTCTGCCATAGGTCTCTGTGTGGGCTTCCCACCCGGCAGGGCACAGTTTCTCCTGCACAGCTCCTTTGTGCATGATGGAGCAGTCACAGGCACACAACCAAGAGGGGTGCCACCAGCAAGCTGGGCAGAGGCCAAGAGGTTGGAGCAGACTCCAAGAGGCCTTGTGCCTGAGCACACACGAGACGCAACTGTGTAGGCAGTCTAGAAATAACTGGAGGCGCTTCAAAGATTGCACCAGAATTCCTGAATGAGCAGCCAGGACAGAGCTGCTCAGAATGAAGTGCTAATGTCACTGTGATCGCATCTGTGCTCTGCTGCTGAGATCGCCTGCGCACAGTGGAGCCCTATAGCCGTTCTACAAGACTAGCGCAGACCACCGTTACCATGGCACGAGTCAGAGGCGGACAAGCTGACTATGCCGCAGTGCCCCAAGACACCCAACCTCAGAGCGCACAGGGCCTGCCGTGCTGGGGCAGTCCGGGACAGGACTGAAGAGAGACGCAGGGTCTGAGACCCACAGTAAGAAAGCCGTCTTTACAGTGTTGAAGCTCCCTCCTTAATTCCAAAGAGAATCTTCGATTTTATTAATAAGAACATGAAAGGCAGGTTGGTGGCAACCTCTGAGCTGCTGGCTGCTCACACTTGAAGCAGTGGTACCAGTGACTTCACAGGAAGTATGTCTATAAGCAGGCGTGTTGGTGGCCAGCCTGGAAGCTGGTCTTCCTCCATCTTGTCTACAATACCATTCCAGCCAAGTTTGGGGGATTCTCCTTTAAAAGCAACAGCCTCTCTTCTGGCTCTGGGACATCGTAGAGACGTGATGCTTGGGCTGGCCGCAGCAGCCGTCTGGAATCTGTGTGGCTTCCTTCAAAGCGAGAGCCAAATGCCTCTGAAGACGGATTGGAAGGAAGAAAGGAGTCCTGGAGGCCGCTGGCAAGCTGCTGAGCTAGCCAGTCCCGAAGCCTGGGCTTTCTTCTCTCTCTGGCTTAGAAACACTCTTGCACGTTTACTATTTCCGTGTGTAGGATACATCTTAAAAGTTTCAGTGCAATACAGAGTATGAGCTATAAGAAGCAAGCGGCATGGTTTAAGTCATTTCCAGCTGGGGTTTGATAGTGACATTTTCCACGTCTTTATAAAGAATCCCCAGGGAGAAGCTGGGTGTGGTGGCACACACTTAATCCCAGCCCTCAGGAGGCAGAGGCAGGTGGATCTCTGTGAGTTTGAGGCTGTCCAGAGCAACACAGTAAGATTCTATTTCAACAAACAAACAAGGAAAGGCACAGAATTTGGCCACGCCTGCACCCTCCTTATCTGCAAAGCTGTTTCCGCTAATAAACCCGCTGCTCAGGAACAGACCTTTAAAAATAAACACATCTGGAGAATATGCAATATTGTCTGGACCTCATCTGCTCTTTCCTGGATGTGTCTCCCCATTGCCGGAAATCCTGCCTTCTCCATGTTGCGTAAGCTTTGCTTGCGGTGGTGCCGGTTCCCTCCGCTTTGACTTCCCTTCCCCTCATCCTCTCCGCTGCTTTGCTCTGCGCACTCCTGGCCGCCATGCTGAGTCAGGCTCCAGGTTCTCCTTGTGACATCTGTTCTGTGGCAGATGGTTTAGCATGTGCTCTGCTATCAGACCAGCCTGGAGGAAAACCCCAGCTCAACTGAGCCTAGCTTGAATTACTTAGGGCAGATTACTTCACTTATCTCTATCCTTGTCTCTTCCAAGACAGGATCTTACTACTTAGCTCTGCTAGTCCTGGAATTTGCTCTGTAGTCCAGGCTGGCCTCGAACCCAGACCTGTGCCTGCCTCGCCTCCCGGGTGCTGGGATCAAAGGCACACACCACTGTACTGTCTCAGAGCCTCATCTTTACGAGGGAGGGGGGGTGATCACTTGACTCTCACAGGATTGTTTTAAGACTGTTTCCAAAGCACGAAGTGCGCCACAGATGGGAACTTTGGATGCTTATATTTGTTTCTTGTCACATTCACAACCCCACTATTTAATATTTGTTTATGGGCATGTGTGTGTGCCTGCTTGAGTTTGCCCGCACCGTGTGTGCAGATGCCTACGGAGGCCGTGGAGGGTCAGATTGCCTGGAACTGGAGTTGCAGACGGTAGTGAGCCGCCTGGTGTGGGTGCTGGGAACCGACGAGTCCTCCGCTCTTGCATCCCCTTAGCTGCTGAGCCACCTCCCCACCCCTCTCCATGTTTATCCTCATTTTCTTCCTCCTCATCTCCCTTCCAGTACTGGGCATTGGACCCAGGGCTCAGCCATGTAAGACAACAGTCTGGCCTTACTTGTAATCAGCCCCTCTGGTGTCTGGGATCAGAAGCCTGTGCCCCATTTGCTTATGGCCTGCTTTCTTGCTGGACTATGAGCAAATAATGATTTGTTTTTAGTTCATTCTTGTTTTTCTTTTACTCTGTAAGCCACCTTTCCTGAGGTATAAAATATATTCAGAATGCACTGTTAGATTCTGTATGCAAACACATGCATATAAGCATAATCCAAGTCAAGAGTCAAGACACGTCCGCCACCCTGAGCCCCCACGTGCCTTTTGTCCTTACAGTCGGTTTCCCTACCCAGCCCTGGCCGGGTGAGCCATTGTTCTGCATTCCATCTCGTCCTAGCATTTCATAACTATGATCACCAACTAGGTCCTCCCCATGTCTGCTGTCTTAACGTTCCTGTGTTGCTTTTATATAAACACCCCACTTCCTTCTTGTTTTCGAGTGTTATTCCACCATTCAGACCTACCTCAGCTTCCCCACTGATAACTGTTGATAGATATCTGGGTTATTTTCAGTATGGAACTATCATTAGCAAAGCCGCTGTCAGCACTTTGTTCTCCAAGTACTTTCTAAGACACGACTGCACTGGTTTCCCAAGTGGTCACATTGTGGGGTTCCAGACACCCACATGCTCACTTTGTGATAGCTACATAGTGGCATCTCGCCATGGTGACGCTTTTGATCTTATTGGCCATATGCATATGTTTTTCGTAGAGTGGTTATTAAAACCTCCTGACTTTTAAAATTTGAACCAGTTGTAGAAGTTTTGGTTTGGTTTGGGTTTTGGTTTTTTTGAGACAGAGTTTCTCTGTGTAGCCCTAACTGTCCTAGCCCCAAGCTTAGAGATCTGCCTGCCTCTGCCTCCCATGTGCTGTTTGGTTTTGTTTTTTTGTAAAAGTTCTTTTAAGAACTATTTTATTTTTCCTTGTGTATGTGGGGGTGGGGGTGTGCACGTTAGTTCAGTGTCCAGAGGCCAGCAGAGGAGTCACAGGCAGTTGCGATCTCCCACGTCGATGCTGGGAATAGAACCGCTCTCCTGGAAGAGCTGCCCAGAACTGCTGAGCCAGCTCTCTAGCCCCCAGTCTGTAAAAGTCCTTTGTTCTAGTTTTTAAATCAATTTCTCTCTTTCATATGTGTGCATCATGTGCATGTAAGAACCCTCCGAGTGCAGAAGAGGGCATCAGATCCCATGCAACTGGTGTTCCAGAGTGTTGTGAACCACCATGAAGGTGCTGGGACTGAATCCCAGTCTTCTACAGAGAAGCATGTGCTCTTCCCCTCAGAGCCAAATATATTCCAGACACAATCACCTTGGAGCCAAATCTATTCCAGGCATGAATCTCAGAGTTTCATTTGTTTTTGAGACAGACATTTGTCTCACTGTTTAGCCCTGACTGGCCCGAAGCTCACTCTGTAGACCAGGCTGGTCTCAGACTCACAGGGATCCACCTGTCTCTGCCTCCCAAGTGCACCGCGGCGCCCAGTTTGGGGAGTTTGTTTGTTAGGTGTATGTGGTGCTGAGACCCGAACCCAAGGCACGCTGGACCAGCACCCCACTGCGGAGCCGCACCCTAGCCATTTGTCCTCAGTCGCCTGTTTGACCCGTGTCCCGCCCAGTCTTCACCTGTTTGACCCGTGTTCCGCCCAGTCTTCACCTGTTTGACCCGTGTTCCGCCCAGTCTTCACCTGTTTGACCCGTGTTCCGCCCAGTCTTCACCTGTTTGACCCGTGTTCCCGCCCAGTCTTCACCTGTTTGACCCGTGTTCCCGCCCAGTCTTCACCTGTTTGACCCGTGTCCCGCCCAGTCTTCACCTGTTTGACCCGTGTCCCGCCCAGTCTTCACCTGTGTGTCAGTTCACGCCCGTTTCAAGCGCCGTCGGTTTTTCTCTTGTGTTTTCTGCATCCTGTTGAGTTGTCACTGCTGCTTCTGTGTCTGTGTGCCACCACGGATCCCACTGTCTCTTCACCTTCTGGTTTCCCTTCCCTGAGCACCAGGCAAGAGGCTGAAACAGTCCTGGGGCCGCTGTCTTGTGTGCCCACCCACCATCGTGTCTGTTTCCTACATCTTGTTTCTGGTTGGATTTGACGGGTGCCCTGAGTCTGTCTCTGTATCCTGGCACATGGACACTACACGGACACTACACAGATGTTCACCACATAGGCACATCTTTGTCAGCACCTCCGGACACAGTCCATCACAGGCTGTCGTGCTGGGGATAGTCCATGGGGCCCTGGAGAGCATCTGCCACATCCCTTCACTTTTCTCACCAGCCTGTTTCCGCAGGCAGTCATCAGGTCTTCATATCTCAGCACCAGGCCGTGCAGAACGAACATGTTTACTGTGTGGGGAAACTGAGGTCTAGAGAACAAAAGGTCATCTGAGTCGGCAGAGCTGGACCAGCAGAACTAGACTTCCTCGCGGGGATCTTCCCGTGGTCCTGAGCAGCGGAGCGGGGAAGGCAGCTAGCGCGGCTGCCTCGCTCCCAGGGCCTCCGCTATTCATGCGTCGTGGCCTCCCATTGCATGCTTGTAAATAAACAGTCGGATGAGTACGTGCCAACTTCCTTAGTGCTTAATTCACGTGGCTTTTGCCTGTGCATGCCACTGGGTGTCTGTCAGCGTGCATGCATGCGTGCATGTGTGTGAGAGTGCGTGCGTGCATGTGTGTGTGTTGACATAGGAATGAGACTGGCCCTTTGACCAGCTCATATGCTCAGAGTCTGTCATTCAATCCTTTCTGTTTCTTTGAATTTTCATTAACCCCCGACAGAGACGGTCTGTGGTCCTGATGCAGGTCCGTGGATCCCTGCAGCACCTGTACTCCATGTCCTTCACACACACACACACACACACACACACACACACACACACACCTCCCTTTCTGCAGCTGGGCTGTTGGCTGTCACCCTCTCCCCAGGGTCCTGGCCCCAGTTGAAGGAGGCAACAGTGGCAAGTGACAGCAAGTGTAAGTGATGGCCTTGCTGTCTGTCATCCCCACCAGGAGCCACCACTTCCCACTTCAGTGGCACCCATGGCTCTCCTTGCTCTCCTCAGCTGGCAAGCAAGGAGCAAGGACTAGCCTCTCAGATCCCAGGGTCTGGCCTGCCTTTGATTGACATGCGCCTGAAGAGAAAACAGCATCCTGTTTCTCATCTCTCATTCTCAACAGAAAACCCTCGCAACCCTGCCCTACCAGCAGAGACAGATACGACAGGCAGGGCCACAGCTCCAGGCCTTGTGACCTTGGAGGCAGGTCACTCCCTGAGTTTCTTCACTGCCCTCATCTCCAGATCCAAGACCTCCCTACCATCCGCTTTGGCATCAGATTCCCAGACACGGGTCCTGGCTTCACTGCCAGCTGTGACCTTGAACAAATTCTGTGAACTTCCCTTTCCTTATTGGGTAAATGAGGCTAACAGCAGTTCCTCCCTCGTCAACGAGACTGTGCCCGGTGCCCAGCGTATAATAAGGGTTTGATCCATATTAGCCATTATTAATAGCATCGTTAGTGCCATTAGCATTCGTTCAGTGTAAGCTGCAGCAGGGCCGCTCTGCCCTTCTCCTCATTTCCCGGCTCACAAAGAAACAACACTTTCCTCCAGCGCCAGGGCTCAGCTTCTCCCTAACAGCACAGCCCCTGCGAAGAGCACTGGCTGCCCAGGGAGCCAGGAAAGTGAAGTGCCCTCTTCTGCTCTCGCCTGCCTCAAAGTGGATCCCGGGTTTCACCCGGTCTGGTACTGGCCAGCACTTCCACCATGCTCTGCGTGCATACACAGTCTACGCTTCTGCGCACATCTGGGATGGGTGGGTCCTTCCCAAGGTCTCACCTGCACTTCAGGGTGGCGCAGGACAGCAGCAGCTGCTGAAGCTCCCCCCACACCTCATTCCTTCCCTGGTCATGTCCAGGAGGGACTGGCGGGGCCCCAGAAGCAGCAGACAGCAGACAGCCCTCCCTGCTCAGGCTGCTGCCCTTGGCCACCCCTGTCACCCAGGCTCTCTCCAGCTGAGAGATTAGCATTCAGACAAGGGCGGGAGGGTAGCGGGGTTATGGGCTCCTATCCTCAGCGGAGAATAGTTTGCAAAGCAAAGCCTGTCACAGCCTCCCGCACACAGAGGCCCTTGATGGGTGTTCTCACCCGTCCCCCCATCTGTCCTCTGCCTCTTCTCGTTTGTCCATCACCCGGCTGTGGTGTATGGGGAGAGAGGAAAGGGAGGACCATCGAGTGAGGAGGGGAAGAGCTGCAACAGCTGAACAGGAATTTCCATCGCAGACTCTCAGACCAGTGACACTCGCTAGCGTTCTAAGCAGTGCCCACCTCACCCTCACAGCAACTAACTCTGTATTATGGATGAGAAAACGGAAGCCCAGAGCCAGCCACAGCCTATTCAAGGGCACAGAGAAAGGAGGTGGTGGCGGAGTCACTGGCTCTAGCCCCTTTGCTCTTAGGTCCCTGTTGTTACCCCATCAGAGGCAGCACCCCACCCCAGCGGCCAGCACCCCATACCAGCAACCAGCACCCCACCCCAGTGGCCAGCACCCCACCCTAGCAGCCAGCACCCCATACCAGCAACCGGCACCCCAAACCAGCAACCGGCACCCCATACCAGCAGCCAGTACCACACCCCAGCAGCCAGCACCTAAACCAACGGACAGCACCCCATGCCAACAGCCAGCACCCCACGCCAGCAGCTACTCATTTCTTGATCTCAGCTCTTTCCTCCATTGTCCTTAGCTTTCTGTCTACCACACACATGAATATTCCTGTTCCTATTTCCAAACAGCAGCTATTGCTAAGGAAATAGGAAAGGGAAGGAGTGAGCCTCTGTGAGTACAGTGTCATGGCCAGGAATTAATTGACCCCCCCCCCAATACTTTAAAGACACTCCCTTGACCTGAGTGATGGGAGTTAATGGGCTCATGGAGGGCACCTGTGAAGTGGGCACCTCCTGTGGAGGAAGTTCTGGGCTGAGGGAGGGCGCCTGGGCAGTGGGCATCTCCTGTGGAGAAGCTGTGGATGAAGGAGGGCATCTGGGCAGTGGGCGTCTCCTGTGGAGAAGCTGTGGACAAGGGAGAGCACCTGGGCAGTGGGCGTCTCCTGTGGAGAAGCTGTGGATGAGGGAGGGCACCTGGGCAGTGGGCATCTCCTGTGGAGGAAGTTATGGGCTGAGGGAGGGCACCTGGGCAGTGGGCGTCTCCTGTGGAGAAGCCCCGGATGGGGGAGGGCACCTGGGCAGTGAGAGTCTTCCACAGAGGAGTCCCAGACTGAGGGAGGGACTTTGTGCAGCAGAAGCTACAAATGTGCAGATTGCAGAGAACCCAGGGTGGGAGAGGCCCTGGGAAGAAGCCGAGCGTGGGCAGGGTGTGCGGGGAAGGTGTAAACACAGTCTGCTCCCACCAAAGCCAGCCTGCTCCCTGGGGGAGAGGGCCCCTCCCTCCCAACCCACATGGCTCCCCAGCTGCCAGGGCCCAGGGAGTCACATCCCCCGCTGCCAACAAGCCCCCTCCCCTCCCATCCCATCCTTGTCCTTCGTCTGGAGTCGGTCGCCAGAGGAGGTTCCCAGAGCAGCGCCCGCAAAGAGGTGCTGTCCTGCTGGAAGTGGGTCTGGGCTGGGAGCCAGCCCTGGTATTGCTCTATGACCTTGGCCTGGCAATTTCTTGGATCGTTGGAAGGAGGCGGGCAACTCGGAAATGGCAGAAACCAGAAACAAGGATGAGGTGACAGGAACATGGTGACTAGATTAGAGAATGAAGGCAAAGCTGGGATCAGAGAACACAGCCGGATCCCCAGGAACAGTGCCCTCTGGCCATCAGCCCTGTCACTAGGATGACTCACACCTCCCCGGAGAAAAATGGCTTGACAGGAGCTGAGACAGTTGGCCTTGGATGGGGTGGACACTCCAGCAGGTTCTTTCCCCTAGTGTGATCCCACACACACCTCTGTGCCCTCTGGAGAGCCAGTTCCCACAGTATTCCCTGTATCCATACCCACGCCAAGCTCCCTGCTGTACCAGCAGCCTCTCCCGGTAGGTAGCGCCCCAAAATGGTGGGTCCCTCAGCTGTGGCATCTCTCACCCCTTTCCTCCCTCCACTGAAGTGAAGCAGCTCGGGGATCCTGCTGTCTAGGGGACTGTCTTTTGCCACCCGAAAGTCAGGGGCAGAGGCTGCGCAGACGGAGGCATAACTGCTGGGCTGGCAGCGGGGAGCTGCACGGGGAAGAGATGCAGCATGGGGGTGTCTTTTGAAGATGAATGACTCCCAGACAGTCGGGAGCAGCTGCCCGCAGGGTGAGCCTGATTCTGGGAGCAGGAGCGGAAATGGGCTTTTATCTCTGCTCTGGACCGGACAGGACGGTAAGGAGAGAAATGGCACAGCAGCAGGGGGCAAAGGAGGTTGTGGTTGCCCTGAGTTACTGAGCAGAGTGACAAAAACAGGTGCCACGCTTTCCCCTTCCCACACGCCACTGTCCATTTGGAGCGCACGCATGCATGCATGCACGCGCGCGCACACACGCAGACACAGAACACATTCAGCACACAAGCTGGTGTTTGCTCCAGGCCAGCTTCAGGCAGACATGCCACAGATCCAGCTGGCCTGTTTTACGGATAATTTCAGGAGAGCAGCCAATGACAGGGTGAGTTCTAGGGACTGAAAAGAGGCAGATGCCACAGGAATGAGTATCTGCTGCAAAGTGTCACGGCCCAGCCCGAGACTCCAGGGGCTTAGCAGAACAGCTCCTGAGCTGACAGATGGCCAGGCCAATAGAACCCCCTTTGCCAAGCGGCTACAAAGTCAAGAAGGTCGTGCGCTTGAATCCCCCACCTAATAGCGTTGTGGCAATGGGCTTCTCCCTGTGTCTTCTTGTGCGTGTACCATAGATATCAGGACGGCTGCCTGTGGGTTATGTCAGGATTGGATTAGAGAATGAATCGGGGAGCCCTCGATGACTAAGCCCAGGCTATCCTTTATCCTTCCCTTGTTTTGCAAGGCTCCTTTCTCTCTGCTTGCACCCAACTCTGGGATGCTGGGGTTCCCTGCCATTAGTCTGGGGGAGCCTGGAAAGTCCCTCTCTCTGCCTTGTCCAGCTTGGCAGTTCCTCCAACCAGGAACTCGGGAGCACAAGCATCCCTGTTCTTCCTGCCAGCGCCAGCCTTGCTTGCGAGCCCTATAGTCACGGTCTGTCTAGGAGCAGACCCGGAGGTTGCGGGGACAAGCCTACCTTCTCCTTGACTGCTTCTCCTGTTATCCCTCCAGACGCTGCCTCCAGCCCTACAACATCCTCCTGGGATAGGGGGTGAAGCAGGACTCCAGCTAGAAGGGAAAGCCAGAACAGCCCACAGCTCGTTCACCCGCCCAGAGGTGGGATGTGTATTTCAGGGTGGCCCGTCCCAGCCACTACCTCTCCCTTAAAGATCTGCAGCACTGTCCTTAGGATGTAGCTCAGCCAACACCTCACCCCCAAGCCTAGAAAGCATGGTCAGGACCACACTCTTCAAACCAGCCCTTGCCCTGTGGCCTGACGCATAAACAGCCAGCACAGTCAAAGCGGCCCTCACTCAACCTCCAGCAGTGACCATGAGAGCTACAGACTGCCTCCCGTGCCCCCATGGCCCCACCCTCTGCCCTCCAGGGCTCCTGCCTTTACCTGTCCGGGCCGGTGGGTCACAGTCCCCAGAGCTGAGCAGCCTGAAGAAGCGAGGGCCTACCTCACAGGTTCTTTCTCCCTGCACAGAGGGAAGCACTGGAGTCAGAGGATGGTGATGAACTTGGCATGTTTAGGGCTCTCCTCTCCCTCCTGCTTCCCCTGAGCCTCCCCAGCCAGTCCCGTGGCAGCCTCCATCAGCAACTGGTTCCTCATTGACAGACAGTGTTTCCAGGTAACTGGGTGCCAAGGAATTAAGAGGTAACCAGACTAGGCTTGGCTAGATGGTTCCTAGATTTGGTCTCTTCTCTCCATTCAGGGGGTCTAGGCCCATTTTTTATAGGCTAGACAGCTACTTGGAATCAGATAGTCCCCCATTCAAATCTCCTTAGCCATTACCGAGTGATTATAAACAGCCACGTCCTACTAAGCCTAAGGTTATTGAGAATTACTGTGCAGGAAAAGTTTGGGAGCTAGGGGTGGTAACACATGCTTTTAGTCTCAGCACTTAGGAGACAGAGGCAGGCGGATCTCCGAGAGTTTGAAGCGAGCCTGGTCTACATGACAAGTTTCAGGGCAACATAGTAAGACCCTGTCTCAAAACAATCTAATGGAAAAGAAAAGAAAAGAAAAGAAAAGAAAAGAAAAGAAAAGAAAAGAAAAGGAAAGAAAAGAAAAGGAAAGGAAAGGAAGAAAAGAGAAAGGAAGGTCTAGGGAAGCACAAAGCACCCATTGGCTATGTGTCTCAGGAGTAGCACCCCAGGAGTATATGCACCCCAGGAGTATATGCACCCCAGGAGTATATGTACCCCAGTGTTGATGAGGCGAGCAGGCCTGCTTTTCATCCTGCCCGGCTCCCGCATGGTTAGCTTTATACCCGAAATAACAACACACAAACTGTATTCATTTAAACACTGCTTGGCCCGTTAGTTCTAGCCTCCTCTTGGCTAACTCTCACATCTTGATTAACCCATTTCTAATAATCTGTGTAGCACCATGAGGTTGTGGCTTACTGGGAAGGATCTTAACCTACGTTCATCTTAGAGAGGAGAGCTATAGCGTCTGCTTCACTTCCTTCTACCCAGCATCCTGTTCTGTCTTCTCTGCCTATCTAAGCTGCTGTCCTATCAAAAGCCAAGGCAGTTTCTTTATTAACCAATGAAAGTAACACATAGACAAATGACCCTCCTCCATCACCCCAGGAGTAGCACTCCAGGAGTATATGCACTCCAGGAGTATATGCACCCCAGGAGTATATGCACCCCAAGAGCATAGCACCCCAAGAGCATATGCACCCCAGGAGCATAGTACCCCAGGAGTAGCATTCCAGGAGTATATGCACCCCAGGAGTATATGCACCCCAAGAGTATATGCACCCCAAGAGCATAGCACCCCAGGAGTAGCACCCCAGGAGAAGCACCCCAGGAATACTTCTAGCAGTTAAGTTCCACTGTGCTTCCCAGCAACCTTGCAACCACTGTCAACAAGGCCAGCTTTAGGGGTCACAGTACATATTTACCCTTCCACACTGACTAAGAACAAGTTGGTAAGGACACCCTCCTTCCAGTGGGTCCTGAATCCCAAAGCTACTGAGGTATTTTTGTCCCCCCCTTTTTTTCTCTTAAGGATGAGAGATGATTTCAAGATGGCCGCCATGCTGGGGAGTCCATGGGCAGGCACATGTCTTACACATAGGCACTAAATAAACACTGCTTTACATTTTTAGTGTTTTGAGGGGCGTAGAGGCCCCTCATTATCCAAAAGACTTTGATAAGCCAGTGAAGGAAAAGTCTAGAAAAATACACCACGTTGCCCCCCACCCCACAAAGGCCATATGGCTTCAACCTAGAAAAGAGTTAACTTTCTGGCCACTGGAGACAGTGTCCTGCCCGCAGGGGCTACCCAGCCAATGGCACTCAGTGCTGGTGATGTCATGCTCCTCCTGTGCCTTCTATTGGGGACTGGACAGCAAATCCTGCTGGAGGTTCAGGCAACTGAGCAGCTGAGCCCGGTTGGTAGCAGAGAAAGGAGGAGGAGGGAGGGCCAAGGACAAGAGAGCAAATCAACCCCCAGCGGCTCCTGCCTCCTCCCTCTGCTCCCTGCTCCTTCAGCAGAAGGTTCCCCTGGGAACCTGTCCCACACTCTCATCATTGCAGAAGCAAAGCAACACAGCCTTGGTCCAGTAGAGGGAGGCACGGATTCCCTCTCCCACTTAACCTGCCCACAGGGAGTGACTGTGGTAAGGGCTAGAACACACACACCACACACACTCACACATCACACACGCTACACACACACCACACACACACTCACACACCACACACACACACACACCACACACACTCTCACAGACACCACACACATACACACCACACACACACCACACACACTCTCACAGACGCTCACACCACACTCACACCACACACACCAATAGTTTCCTTGGCACCACTTCCCCCACCCCTGACTCTCCTTCACCTGCCCGAAGACTGAAGGTCTGTGTCCGAGCTGCTGCCCACAACCGCCCCGTCCTCTCTGCTGGGCTCTCTGGAAGGGAAGAGCAGGCAGAGAACCTGTAGGCAGCGCCCAGCCTCTGTCCCACCCCCCTGGTCACAGTCTAGCAGCCCCGGACTAACAGGCCGCCTGCTCCCACCCAGCACCGCCTACTCCGAGAGTGACCCTTTCAAGGTGTCCTTCAAATCGCCTCCCAGACCAGCTAGGGATCCAGGCGACCACTGCTCCCCTTGGCTTATCTGTACCCTCCCTGGAAGACCCTCCCACCCGCAACCCCGATGCGCAGCCCCATCAGTCTCTCACGGTTCCACCCGGTTGGTGAATCTGCGGCGCCACAGCATGGCAAAGCTGAGCAGGAAGAGGGTGGTGCACATGGCTCAGCTGCCCCATCCCCCCTGAACACCAACTCTGCCGGAAGAAGGCCACAGGTGAGGGGCCACAATGGCCCCGGCCACCTCTCCCAAGCCACCCGCTGTGTTTCCTGAAGTTCCTGGGGATGGATTAGGAGGTTCAAGCTGATTAGTGGAGTCAGCAGAACTGACCTGGTGAAGGGAGATTAAACTCACCGGGCCCAAGATCTCCCCTCTAGAGGCAGAGTAAACCAACCTCCTTCAAGGTGCCTGTCCAGAAGGTTCTCCCCAGAGCATTCCATACTGCCTGGGCTTCAGTGCAATCAAGTTAAGTGAGTTACTTCCGTACTGCAGAGCACTGGGGACATTGCAAGCATCAAGGAGAGCTTCAAAGAGAATCTGGGGCCTGGCCCAGTGACAAGGACCTGTAAGCCACCGGGAAGGGGCGGGATCTCAAGTTCAAAGCCTGGCTGAGCGTCAGAGAGAGTTGGAGGCCAGCCTGGAAACCTAACAGGAGTATCTCAAAAGAGGCTCAGTGGTAGACAGAGGGCTTTCCTGCATCCCAAGGCCCTGAGTTCAGTCTCCAATACAGGCGAGAAAGAGAGCAAGCGCGGGAGGTGTCTGAAGCTGCAGGTGCTACAGAAGGTTGGGCCCTCAGCCGGCTCTGCTTGGCTGCTGACGAGAAGCCTGCCGGACTCCTCGGTGACAGGCTGTGCGGCAGAAGGGAAGCAGGATGGATGATGAGCCCGACAGGCCGCGAGAGCGAGCCTGCCAGTGAACCTGGCTCGCTTGCTCCCTCTGCCAGCCCTCTGAACTTTGCTCATTACACTCCGTTTCAGGGAGAGGCAGAGTTGAGGTGCGCACTCACAGATGTGAACTATAAATTCTATCTTATATAACTATCTTATATAATTTAGATATAAATTATAGGCTTATCAATTATGTGCGAGACTGCTGTACCGATATATCCCTAGGTTATGAGGTATGGCGATGGGAGGAGAAGATGAAAATCAATAGAAATATTCTTTCCACGTCCCACCCACCAGGACCTCCTGGGAAGCTGCTTGGGTCTCAGGAAGTAGAAGGGAGTCAGCAGGGCAGGACGGGGACACGCACTGAGTGATGTCAGGACCTGAACGCACACCGTCCTCCATCCCTTCTAAGACCTTTGTTTCCTAACCATGGGAGGTAATGCGTCCTGCCTGGGTGCCCCATCAGGCACCCCAACACTGAGCTCCAGGAGGGCCTGTAAAGGTACTTGGTGACCGTCAGGACTGAACCCCGAACCTTAAAGTCTGATTTTATCTTTTAGATTTTTAAATTTTTGTTATTATTGTTATTGTGGGTGTGCAAGAGAGAGAGGTGGGGAGAGGGAGAGAGAGACAAAGAGAGACAAAGAGAGGAGAGAGAGAGAGAGAGAGAGAGAGAGAGAGAGAGAGAGAGAGAGGAGAGAGAGAGAGAGAGAGAGAGAGGGGGGGGGAGAGGGAGAGAGGTAGGTGCATGCGGAGGTCAGAGGATAACTTGCAGGAGTCATTTCCTTCCCATGTGGGTCCCGGGGATGGAACTCAGAGCACAAGGCTTTGGGAGCCAGCAAGAACTTTTAAAGGCCTTAAACCAGCAGGAACCAAAGCTGAAGAGGAGAGCCACCTTCTGGGCAGCAGGGCTCCTATCCTCCTTACTCCTGAGCAAGGTGAGGGCTAACAGAGAGCCCTGGGGAGAACCAGAGCCACCTCAGTCATCTGTGTCAACCCTTGTGGTCTCAGGGTTCCCTCTGTCCATGCCCAGACCTGAGCACCTCTGGCAGGACGAAGTTTCTGGGTCCCTCCAGACAAGGCAATCCTCCACTCTGTCCCAATCTTGCCCCTCCACGAACAGTCTATGATGATGAATTTGCCTAATGGTTTCCAAATTGAATCTTTGACAGTGACACATGTCTCCACTGTCCTGCGCCTATGAGTTCTAGCTGCCCATCTATCACTCCTGACTGCCACTGTCGCGAAGCCTCGCTAAGGCCAGGGCCAGAATTCAGGACAGTGTCTTGGAACTTCCTTCCTGCTTGGTTTTGGGCTTGGCATTGGTGGGGAAGAAACGGGGGTACAGGCCCTTGGTTCCCCAGACTGGGCTTACGTTCAAGTTCAGAGAACCAGCAGGAATGATAGATGAGAAGGAAGACTGCCAGAACTTGGGGTCCCCAGGTCTGAGAATAGTGCCTTGGGCCCAGTCTTAGGCTGAGGAGCAGCTACAGGACTACAAGGGAAGCCCAGGTTTGTCTGCAAGTTCGTGTCCTCTCCAGCAGGCGACGGGAAGCAATGCCTGGGATGTGTTTGACTTTGAGTCAGTTCCCTACCGCGTGAAGGGTACGCACACGCCCAGGTCTAGACACCGCGCATCGGGAGTCCGATCCCTGCGCCCCCAGCCCTGCACCAGACCGGGGGCACACTCCGGCGCAGCCCGCGCTGCCCATTCCGCGTGACGCCCCTGGTCCTCCCAGCCCCTTCTGCACATTGGCCACACCTACCTCTCCCAGCGAGGACCGCGGTGGCCTTGCTGGCGGGTGGGTGGGCAGGGGGGCAGACGCCGGCCGCGACGCCCCCATCCCGCCCAGTCTTCACCTTGCCAGAATAGGCTCCGCGACGCAGGACTGGGGATTTGGAACGGATTCATTTTTTTAAACATTTTTTTCCCCAGCAGACCACATCCCCGCCTCCAGCTCGCAGTCCCCCGCCCCCCGCACATATACCCTGCACACGCGCGCGCGCGCGCACACACACACACACACACACGCACACACACACACACGACGCGCACAGACACACACGCTCGCTCCCTCCCTCCGGCGCTCTACTCCGAGCCCTCCCGCCCGCCTCGCATTCACCGGCCTCGGCTCTGACTCCTCGCTCCCGCCGCCTAGCGAAGCCGCGCTGGGCTCGGAGCTGCTCATGGAGAAAGTGCCCGGCGACATGGAGAGAGAGCGCAGGGAGCGGAGCGAGGAGCTGTCCGAGGCGGAGAGGAAGGCGGTGCAGGCTACGTGGGCCCGGCTGTATGCCAACTGCGAGGACGTGGGGGTGGCCATCCTGGTGAGGTAGGTGTCGCTCCCGGCTTGGCGGGGCCCAGGACAGGGAGGGTGACAACGACTGCGGGCAGAGGCGGGCTCGGCCCGCTGCGAGCTCCGGCGCCACCTCCCCAGCGATTGGGAACGGGTCATGGTAGTGGGGGCGCCCTGGGGCGATGGAAACCCTAGCTGATTCCTTCCTGGCCCGGGGCTTTGGGCTCACGAGGAACTAGACGCGGGAGGGCACTTGGTTCCTCTGGCCTCAGAACTCACCCATCCCAGTCAGTCTTCCTCATGAGTGACCCTAGCGACCCAACTGAGATGTACGGCCATCTGACCAGCCCCTCAAAGAGAACGGTAGGGACTCCCCGTTTCAGAGATGACTCCCCGTTTTAGAGACAGGCAGAGAAACTGAGGTTCAGCCAGGGATTAAAGAGGACACAGAACGCCCTGTCCAGCTCGGCCCTTTGGAAGAGCGCAGCAGTGAGCAGGGGACTAGAGGTCAAGAGGCCCAGCTGCCCAGTTGCCCCTTTCAGGCCCCAAAAGTGAGGCCAGTGAGAGCTGCAGGTGAGACAGGTGAGTGAAACCAGTAAGCTTTAGGATGCAATCCTGGCTGAGTTTGTTAGGGTTTTTTTTTTTTTTGAGGGGGTGGCTTTCAGGAGACAGGGCCCCACTCTGGACCCTCCAGCCAGATAGGTATACAGAAGTATAATGTCCGTCCCCAGGATCCCTGAGGACCCCCACCCTAAGTGATGCTGTATTTACACACCTGCACGACTAATATCCCCAAACCCCACAAGCTAGACACTGACTAGTTACAAATCACACCTGGACTATTCCCACACACGCTGGACCCAGGGGTACAGGCAGAACAGGGGTACCCACTCTTGGCAGGGGGAGACTGTCAAACCTAAGCAGGGCAGCCTTTTGTAAAGACAGGGTGACTCCTGGGGTGGACAGACCCCTGCGGCGGGTGTCTGTTTTCCAGTCCTGGCCCCTTCCCCGGCTCTTCTCCTCCCCTTCTGCCTCTGCCTCTGGCAAGCCTGGGACTTACCCAGCTCCCCGCTGAAATGCCTGGATTCCAACTCAGAAGTAGATTTTGGAGGAAAAGAGCAGAAGAGTTTTAGAGGAATTGGGGGAGAGTTCCTGAGGAAGAGGAAGGGGCGGCTGTTTCAGAGCTCACTGCCCTGCTGGCGGGAACCAAAGAGGGCCACTGGGATCCCGAAGCCGCAGACAGATTGGTCGTGTAGGCACCCACACACAAGCTCACAGCGGGGAGTGGAGCCTCAGATGCGCCAGCCCGCATCCCCAGAGAGCTGCTCTCAGCCTTGTGTTGCACCCCTAGGCCCACAAAGCACATGTAGGCACCGAGGGGAAACAAGGCAAGGCCCGTGGGACCTGGGGGTGTCAGTGAGTGGCTCCCCCAGGAATGGGAGAAGAGAGGGCACAGAACAGGATCTGAGAGCAGGGTTCATTCTTCCTCGGTTCGCCCCCTGACACCCAGGGACCAAGCCTGGCTGGGGAAGGTACTTGCTAACAGACTTAGTACTCAGGGCCCACAGTGACCCTGAGAAGACCGGAGATGGCTAACAGATCTGGTTTGCCGAGCTTCCCAACAACCACACCTCGCCTCTCTCCAAAGCCAGCCTGACAACCCCGGGGCAACACTGGACAACCCCCTCCACTCCCCGTGATGCCAAAGGCCGCTCTAGGGCTCTCTGCCCTAGGCCTGGCCAATAGAAGGGGACAAGGCTAAGACCCCTAGCTTCTCATAGCTCCACGGGACCCATCCGTAGATCTGGCTCACAAACTCATGTTCTGACAAGCCCCAAATGTTCATCCACCATGGGACCAGGCCCTCTGACCACCCCTCCCCCGTTTCTGTCCCTACCGCCCATTCTGCCTGCAGGGTAGGGGGCAAGAAGGAGGCTGGTTACTAGCAGGAAGGAGTTCCTGGTGGTGGAATAGAGAAGCTTGCTAGCTGCCCTAGGGTCTGAGGCAGACCCCCATGTTTCCAGTCCTTGTGAGAGAGGAACCCGAGGAGGGAACACCACCCTCCCTCCTGGTTGTAACGCTGACACCTTCCCCCTCATACACAGACAAGCCTATTTCAGGCTCTTGGAAGCCCAGATGTCTCTGGGAGCTGAGAAACTCCCCAAGACTGGCTGCTGAGGCTTCTCCCTGGCAGCTCAAGCCAGCCAGGGAGGGGTGGGAGGAAACACAGGCTGGAGGGGAAGCCAGGATGACAGCAGAGCTCAGGGCTCCTACTCCCTAGGAAGGTCCTCCCTCAGGGCCACACAGGGTGATGCTGTGTTGAGGCAGGAGACCTGCGCTCAGGACCCATCCCTGGCCTGCGGTCTCTGGCCAGCAGTGTTGAAGTCTGGTCCATTCTGTTGCTGCCTCTTGGGCAGCCTTGGGGACCAGCCAGTTCCTGATCCATAAGCTGAGGGGCAAAGCAGCGCTTGGATAGTAAATGCTCAATGAGTGTCCCCTGGGACGTCCTGCTTGGGGAGAGGAAAGAGTTTCTAGGCTGTGGCAACTAAATAGTGTAAGGGAAGCCTTGCAGATTGCAACATGCCATACCCCCCCCCCATTGATTTTTTGTTTTTTAGTTTTTTTGCAATTGTGAAAACCAAAAAGCCTGAGATGCTTATTATTGTGTGTAGGGGTGGGAGCATGTTTGTATGTCGTGTGGAAATCAGAGGACAGCTGTCCAGAGCCAATTCTCTCCTTCCACCTTGTTGAGGGAGTGTCTCTCTTGTTCCTGCCACCGCGCTGTGTCCAAGGGACCCTGTCTCACTGCCTAGGAGTGCTAGGGTTACCCGTGTGCCGTGGCATCTTGCCTTTTGGGTTTTACACATTCTGGGAACCAAGCTTGGTTGCCAGGCTTGCGCAGTGAGTCAGTTCGACCCACTGGCTTGTCTCCCTGGCCACCGAGGCATCTTTCCTCATGTGTCCCTCATGAAAAGCTTCCAGAGAAATCCTGTGTGTTTTCAGGCCCGCTGCCACCTTGGTCCACACCTGGTACCTCTGAAGAAGCCAACTGTGAAGTTTTCTCAAACTCTTAAAGACAGGAGGGAGTCACAAAGTGTTTGTCCAAGGTCACACTCAGCATCCAAGCAAGTCCCTCGCCTTCCCCACATGGACAGTGCCCTGGCCACCCAGTCAGAACCTTCCTGCCAAAAGCGGCTGTAGCCCCAGAAGGGCTGGCTGGCCAGATGATCTGTGTCTATCTCCCTCACATCAGACTCTCA